ACTAGTGGAACTGCTCAAAGTGGATGCCATTCCTTCTTCTCGGGCGAGCGAGTAGTATTTGCAGCTGGAGAAGCGATTGCCGGGGTTCTCCTAGAAACACCGGATGCTATGGCCGTCCTCGAGCCAGCAGCTGGAGGGTTAGTACTGCTAGTCGATCCAGAAACGGTTCTACGTGTTCCCGTATTGCTAGGAGTGCCGGTGGCCCCATTAGCTCCAGCAGATCTCTGTGGGGGTTTTGATAAGCTGGTGGTTCCAGTTCTCCGAGGTGGGAGGCCAGAGACTGGAGCAGCAGAGCTTGATCCAGTTCCGGCAGGACGCCTAGCCGTTCCCGTCACGGTGGGTTTCTTGACCATCTCCTTTTGCTCCTCCCGATGGGTCTCCTTAACCGGATCAGAATCCGGTGTAGAAGACACCTCCTCCATCACAAGAGTGATAGCCAAGTCTTGGGGAGCTAGTACCTCTTGAGGAGGATCTGACATATTTTCTGTCGCGCAGTGATTAAAGGTTTACCAAGTTAAAATAGAAAAAGGGGGGTTGAAGGGTTGTTTGTTCCGAGAAGAATGGTTGAGATGAGGGATGACGCCTTTTGTAGGAAAGCAGCAGCAATGGACTAGCGTGATGAGATAGAAGGGAGACTGTGAGATATGTCAAATGTCAACGATAGGATGGGCGAAACTGATGCGAGCGGCGGTCAGTCAAACAAACGCGTGCAGGTCGAACCACGTCAACGAACGTTTTGAGATGGATGGATGGGATGTGGGTTTTGGTTATCTTGGCTTGGAAATGCGGGGTGAAAAACGAAAGAGAGGGAAGGGGCACCGGATAGAACGTAACAGTTTGGTGGAGCAGATTGTTTTGTTTAGGGATGTGAGGGGTGGGCCGGTTATTTTATGATGATATGCAGAGATAACAATGATTTAGCAGGGGATGGGGCCAACACACATTGAATTTGCCAGCGTCAAGGTTGCACGCTTTCTACAGAAAAGGTTCGTCCCTGGCTCTTGATTGGAGATCTCAATCCCGAAACAAGCCCCCTCCGAAGACAAGTCCTGGGATACGATAGTATGGATGAGTGTGAGTGTGTGTGAGTGTGTGTGCCTGAATGTCAATGGCAGCAGGGGAGGTACGAGAGGAAGAAAGACTGTATGAAGGGAAAGGAGGAGAAAGAGGAGGAGGAGAAAGAGAACAAGCGTGGGGAAGATAGGAGAAGAGATGGAAAAGGAGAAGAGAAGCGGAAGGTAAACAGGTGGGACGCGGACAACCAAAGTCATTTCATCTCTTTGGTCACTGGCAACTTTCACACCAGTCTCAAGCGAGAGACTCGAGGCCCAAAGATCTCTAACTTGACCAGGCTTAGCCCCACCCAAAATTTTAAAGCGACCACTCGTACTCGAGTACTCTATGATGATACCGGTACCTACCGCTACTTACCTACTGACAAACAGGAGCTTCCCCTCATGAAACCGCGTTTCCGAGCAAAAGCCTCCATCATGCGCAAAAATATCGATGGAAGAAAGAAAGAGAGGACTGATGTGGTGCTCGAGTACTGCACCGACCCTCTACGAGTAACAGCACATGTAACCGATATGGCCTATCGGCCCCCCCTCCCTCCACGAGTACCGGCACAGCACCAAGTGAGTCGATAGCAGTGTACTTGTATCAATAACAATAATGACGATTACGGCACCTCCCTCCTCCGTGTTCGAGTACTGGTAACCCGACAAAGTAGCCGCTCAAGTACAATGCACGAGCGCACTGCCTATATGATGGTATCCCCCATACCCGGCAGGATGCATCACCGTTAGACTTTTCACAGTCCCTGAGTACTACAGTATCATAGCAACAGATCCCCGTCGAAAGAAAAAAAAAGTATGAACACATGCCGGTGCTGGTACTACGGTAGCACCGGCATTATCAGAGATGTAATGTAATGTAACGGCATAAATTAATTTGCGCCCGCCCCGCGAGTACCGTATTGCATACCATACCGGTACTCGAGTACCAGATCAAGGGGGTATCTCCATAGTAAAAAAGGAACTTAAGCCAGCAAAGTTACGATTTTTCTTTTTCGAAAGAAAGGGAGAAAAAGGAGGAAAGGAAAAGAAAAAAGAAGAAAAAACCACTGTAGCAATCATGTGGATCCCGAAAGGTAAGGAAGAATAAGTACAGTATCCCAGCTCCGTTAACCCCAAGCACCGCTATAAGAACTATGCAACCATATCCTGAAGAAGCATAAAGCACTGAAACTACAGTCACAAGTCACATGTGCAAGAGAAGAAGAAAAAGGAATATAAAGAATCAGCAGCTTTAACGAAATCGGAAATGCCAAAGACCCTTGGTAGAGGCTGAGGAAAGGGGAGGGAAAAGGATAACCCATGATTTTAACCTTGCCCTCAAAACGTTTATCGTTGTATCATTAGCCTTGGGGAAGGGGGGGTAGCTTTTTCTTAAGGTCCCCTGTCTCTGCGACTCGAACACCCCCGGTTCCAACACTACCCCTTCTAAGTCTGCCCTCTTCACCTTCCATGGTAGCAAGCTTGCTATCTGGAGAACTAGTCCTCCTAGGCCCGAGGTTTGCCTCAGTTGCTTGTGTGATACCTGGGGAAGGGGGATGCTTATCCGCTTCGCCGGTAGCCCATGGGGCTCTCGCATCTTCTATGCCGGGCTCTCTGCCAGGTAATGGGCGGGGGGCGGTGCGGGAGGCCGATGATTCCGCTGGGAAGCGACCTGCTGTGGATCCAGTTTGATTCGCAGTAGAAGCAGGGATGCCCCAGGGTGCCCTGGCGGTGAAATCAGTGTTTGAGCCAATCGTAGGAGACTGCGTTGGGTTTCTAGCCCATGGTGCAGCTGTGCCGGTGATAGGATTCTCGGGAGCTCGAGTTCCAGGACCAGAGCTAGCACTAGATCCAGATCCTACCCCACTTCCGGTCCCAGTTTCCGGACCGCTTGCATGGGGCGCTTGAGTCCTAACAGTAATAACCGTGGCATTGGCAGAGCCACCTGCCCCGCCCCAACTAAAAATGCTCCCAAACCTGAAGTGCTGAACAACCGGAAACTTCCCAAGAACTTCCGCATTAAACATCTTGATCATTCCCTGGGTCGTAGCCGTAAGCAAACCCCGTCGAAATTTAAACACTCGGAGGATGCTTACTTTGTTTATTTTACCCCACCCTCCTTGAACACCAGAGATATCATATAAAATCGGACTATGCTCCCAGAAAGGGCCCTTCTTGACATCATATATAAACCCGATAGCCCCAAAGTAAAGGTTTCTCAAACGCTCCCTCTCAACGACAAGACTCTTAACCACATCTCCGGGTTTCGGCACATCTTCCAACCCCTCAACATTCGCCGGAACTGTTGAGTTCGAGGACGAATCGGTCGGGTGGTGGGTAGTCAGCTCAGCACTGCCAAAGATATACGGAAGGAACGAATGATCATCAAGCCCCCAAACCCCATGAGAACCCGCGGGCTCAAGGGTGTATGTAGTCACGAGCCGTCTAACCAGATGAAGGTATGTATCAAGACACTTGAGAGCCAGTCCGAGCTCATCCCTCCCGGCCCGAAACCCACCAAGAACCCAAATCCCGCAGAGAAAGGCCAAGAACGAAAGCTCGTGCCCGGTACCGTAATCCAGTCGTTGGGAAGACCCGAACGAACCGAGAAGATACGGGAGTAATTCCTGCTTGGCGGTGACTTCACCTTTCCCCTTTGGTGAGAGCACCGATGCGGGTAGGTGTTGGTCGAGAAGTCCATCGGGACCCCCGAGAGCGTCCTCGACAAGAGAGTACCAATGACGGTAGGCGGTGTTGCCGAACCTTCGCGGCCCAGGGTCCGGTGGAGCTCGGGTCACCAGGGCTTCTAGTTTGTGAATGAGCTGGATGATGCCGTCGACTTCGGGAGATACATGGATGGTAGGGGAGGTCAGTGTGTAGTTCTGCGGGTTGCGAAGCTCGCCAGTTACTGGGTTTAATGGAGATGCCGAAGCATTAAGGTGAAGGATGAAGTTAGTTATCAGTTTGTAAGCTGGTGAGGTGATAAAGTGCGGAACGTCCTCTTGGACGTGAATTCTTTTGGCCGGGATAGCAAAGACATGTTTAGCGGGGTCGATCGGCTGAAGGTCAGAATCGGAAGTCATGGTGAGAGTTGACTATGTAAATGAGCGCGATGGGGTTGATGGAAGGATGGCGGTATCTATGAGAGTGGAGAGATGGGAGCCCAGAAAGCGGAAAACGCCAGGCGAGATATGGATAGAGGGGGTGGTAGAGGGCTATGAACAGGAAGGCGATCTATGGCGGGGTGAACGGGAATTTCGGGCACGGGGATCAGGGATCTAATATGACCGTTGACGTCGGTGGGGAAACACGAACAGAACCTTATCGTAACACCAAGCTTTTGTTTTTTCCTCCACCGGACTGGTCAGAATATAAGCTCACACGGGGAGGAAACAATAATACCCAAAATCACGAGTAAAATAAACATCGGATATTTCCCCGCTAAATAAAATAAAAACCACATAATTTAGATTAGTCAGGCATTTCACCACCATAATATTATTGTGTCGGTACTCGTACCTGCATCCTCCATGTGATAGATCCAACACAGTCCAACCCAAAAACATAGCCTATCAAACCCCAGTGGGAACGCCTTTGAACGCCTTTGGGGGCATTTTTAGCCCGTACAACCGATTGCCCGGGATACCTGCAAGATCTGTTGACATACCGGTATCTCAACCGTGATAGTGTGCCTGTGAAAGTCTGGAAAAGTGATTTGATCTAATTTGGTCCAGTCAATACAGTGCTGAAATCGTTGTCGGTCGGTCCTCGTGCTATCGCAGCGTGACAACATACCTATCAGTCATCACAACGTTCTTCAGATATTTCTTGAATTGCAAAGGAAATTAGTGCGCTTAAGGAGGTGTGGTGATGGTCCGCAATTCTAATTAGAGACTATTGATTGCTTGGGGAGTCGGTCTCTTCACAGTTGCTCACTCGGAGACCTGTTCCAGGGGCTGAGTTAGGGGAGGTGATTTTGGGGGGCAGAAATGTTAGGACTTAAAAAAAACCTCAAGATGGGATACACCTCCCCCCGTACTGGGGCGTGATCGCTTTACTTTTGTGCATCTTCTGGGGATTGGATCGGTTGGTTTTCGCGGAAGTGCGTGGGGGCTTTGTTTTCCTTTTTAGAGACACTGGGGCTCATGGAAACCTGACTTATGATAGCAGAATAAATAATGATCTAATATTAACGCTATGCTCAATGCACCCCAACTTTCTACCCCAGCCGCTCAAGAACTAACTATCATACAGTGTCACACTATTAACGCCGCTAAGGCAACTTAAACCCGCCCTTCGCCAACTTCTGAAACACACCCTTAGGATCGTAATTCTTAGAAACCTTCTTCAATTCCTTCACCTGCGCATCACCATAGCTAGCGATAACCTTCTGGTCGATAGCAGCGTCATTGAGGAACAGGTACTGCTCGAGCAGGCCCTTAGCCCTCGCCAGGTCCTCGACCTGCTTGATGAAGCTAATGCTGAGCGGGAGTATGAGCTGATCGTCGGATGGGAGTGCCCAGGTGGATGTCAAGCAGAGCCATGTTTGGGCCTTCTCCGACATACCCATCGCGTTTCCGCCGCGAGTCTTGCCGTGAGCCACGGTAGATGCAGCGACGGGCTGGAAAGTGAGGGTTATGGTGAAGCCGGAGACGGGGGAGAGGGCAGTGTTCGTGGTGTAGGTCTCTTGAAAGAGAGTGGAAATGTCGCGGTAGAATTCTGGGGAGACACCGATGCTTAGGGTTCGGAAGTCATGTCTAGACAACATCACAGCCATTAGAAGTTGAGCGATTTTCAAACCATGTGGGTGAAAATGGAGTACTCACCGAGTAGGAGGTAGAACAGGAGCCGAGTCTCCACCGACAGCCTCCCTCGCCATTTCTGGTAAAGTCCTCTGCTTGCTGCTATCGCTCACGGGGCCGGCCTTAAAGATAGGATCCAAGGATGCCGGCTTCTGGCCGCTAGTATGAAAAACAGTCACCAAGAAACCGGTGAAATTCCCCTGCCCGGAATAAGAAAGGCTGGGGATAATCGCCGCATCAGGGTCAGTCAGTTGGCCATTCATCTGATACTCGGCGATCGCATCGGTAACGTTATTGATTTGCTGGGGCAAGAAAAACGTGTTCCCGCCCCAGACTTTCCCGTTGGGAATCGGGATGGCGAACAGGTCGAGCCGAGTGACAATCCCAAAGTTATTGCTCCCGCCCTTGAGCGCCCAAAACAAGTCCTTATTCTCAGCAGCAGATGCCGTGACTATGCTCCCGTCTGCGATGACAACCTCGAAGCTAGCGACGTTGTCGCATGCCATTCCGTGACCGGTTGAGAAGTAGGAGTTTCCGCCGCCAGTGGTTAGGCCGCCGACGCCGACGCTGGGGACTCTACCTCCGACAACGGCGAGATTGTAGGGTTCAAGGAACTCGTAGACTTTGATCCACCTATTCCCCGAGCCGACGGAGACGAGATCCTTTGATTCCGAGAGCGCCAAGATGGTAAGGTTTTGAAGAGAGATGAGGATTCCGTCCGAGATGCTTGCGCTCCCGGGGAAGGGGGTGTGGCCGCCGGAGCGCACGGCGAATGGTACGGAGAAGAAATTGATGATTTTAACCGACTTTGCCACATCCTGTGCTGAGGTTGGCATGAAGATCGCTTGCGGGGGCAACCATGCTCTCGTGGACCTATTCCGATTCCGCCGTATCAGCACCATGCTCGCTCACTCGCTCAACCAAACAATTGGGACAGGGAGAGCTCGAACTCACCAATTAATACTCATACTAGCATTATACCCAGCCATACCCGGCAACATCGTTTTATTAGGGAATAGCAGAGTAAGAATCAAGATTGCGATGCCTTGCCAAACATTATAGTCCCCAGGAGTATGCCTAAGCTCACTAATCTTCTGCAAACCTGCGGCCGGGACGCCCAAGTCGCTAGCGAAAGTAGTGACTTCCGAAGGAGTGATCATGATGATCGCTTTGTTTTTCCTGCAGAATAAGGTGAAAGAAGAAGGACTTGTTATTGTCGTCGAACGAGGGGATAGTGGTTCTAAGAAAGCTCTGGGGGGGGAGGGAGATTCTTATATCCCTATCTACCTCCCCCCCGCGCCCCCTATCCATACGCCCATGCCCAATCCCAATCCACCGGCTCCAAATCATCCGGGCAGTCGAGTACCCGGGTACTCGTATACGTATACTCGAGCAACAAACCTCTCCAGACCGTGCGTATGGTGCTAGGATATATTGGGGCAGGGGTATCGGCGAAGAAAGTGTGAATCGCCTACTTCTCACCGGAGAGAAGGGGAGCACCGCATGGCTACAAACGGGTCTGTACTTTATCATACCATGCTTGTACAGTACGAGTACAGTACTGTAATTGCGCCACTCCAGTCTAACCCAAAATATCCTTCCCTCCTCATAGGGCTCCCTGGGAGGGTACGAGTGGGGCTGCCATCCCTTCGTCTGTCATCAGGATCTCACGCTAGAGCTGGTTGTACCGCCACTTGGGGTCACCCCTTCAGTGACGGACGACATGTTTTTATGAGCTTGGTCTTTGAGGATCGGGGGAAAAATTATACGCACAAAAGAGGTGGTGAAAAAACCGGAGAACGGATGAACGAAGGGATGATACCAGTACTTCCTTTTTTCACATTCTTTCATTCTTTCCCGGGGGATACTTATTGCTGACCCGAACTGCAGCCCTGCCACTCAACTTGGGCCCTGATTGGCACGCCACTGTGAGAAATAATTAAATAAAAACAAAGCATTCTTTAGAGTAAAGATGCTTATCATACATAGTATTTGTCGAAGTACTGGTGATTGGCATATCCAGAGTTTCTTTTGTCAACCGAATGGGTGGAGTGCTTTTTTTGGGGGTATCATATGATACAGTATGATACGATAGAAACAAAGTGGAAATTTGTAGAGTTTAATCCGCAAAAACTAACATGACTGATATTTCAAAATTTGAATGGCCTGAGAGATTTTTCTTTCTTCTTTTGATTATCAAAATTCAATTGCATTAGGGCCGAAAAAAAACCCCCCACTTTGCCTTGCTCTAATGCCGAGTACAGTACCTTACGAGTAGAAGTAATAGTATACAAGTAGTTGTGGTGGTATGTCATCATACCGTATCTGCTGTTCAGATCCGACCTTCCGCCGGGGATAACTTGCCTTTAATAAGCTTAGAATGCTCTATTTCCTAGCACGACAATAGTACGAGTGCAAGTGCTAGCATCGGCACTCATATTACCACTAACCTTGCGATTTGTCATTTGCTCTTTGCCTGTCATGCTAAGCCTTTCACGGGGTACAATAGTGTTTGGCAGCGGTGGGTCGAATTTGAGTTCGTAGTCAATGCTGTATCGTAGAACAATTATTGTGCCCTGATAGCGACAGGTTTTGCGAGAAATACCGCAGTAGAGAAACACAAGAAAGGAATTGTGAAGTATATGATATGATACGATATGAAAATACCCATGTTATTTGTGTGCATGCGCCAAACACAGTGCTGTTTATCTATCCTCTTTGCAGCCAGAAACCCTCAGAAAAAGCAAGAAACACTATGCATTTCTACGTGCCAAGCAAGGCCTCAAGCATAATACCGGTCCATTCCCCCTTTCCATGATATGTTATGATACTCTTACCAGTCAACATTACCGTCAACCTAAATTACCAGTACCGGTACAGCATCAAAACTCGCTTCGCATTCAAGGCCATGGTACATGGGTAGTTTAGTGGCCAGTCAGAGTTCCACAATCTTTGAACCCCCCACCCCCATTTCGGGGAACAGCGCTCGCTGGTCACTCTACAAGTAGAGACCACGCTGGGCTCTCAGGTGGACTGGTGGTGAGAGAGAGAAAAAAAAATTCCCTCGTATCTGTGGTACCGCATGCACGACGGCCTTGTCTGTATAAGCGCGGTTGGCGAGTTTATGGTGCTCCGGCACGCTCGTTTTCGCATTCGCCTTATTACGATTACGTTGTTGTGGGCACGTGCCGGCATGATATTGTAGATTGCTGTGAGCACAGCACAGCTACAGTAACCGTTAACTTGCCATTGAAGCGCTCGGGCACTGTAATGATACAGTACCACAACGGAGGGATGACATGTTCACGCCGGCTAAACTACCGTACTCGGGAACTCACGAAGCATCCAAACATCTTGCATCCGAGGAGAGATTGTGGGAGGAGCTGGATTAGGGGTTGGATTGATTACGGTAATGCTATGATACCACATACGGTTCTTCTGTGGTTAGTCATATGTTAGGGTAAACACCTTTTTAGTATGCACGTATTACCCGAGTATAAAAAACAAAAAAAAGGTCTGCAGGAGGCGCTGGAGCCAACCAGGGGGGGTTGGACGGATCCACCCTTGAAGCCGGGTACTTGTACGGCAAAGTTGCCATGAACAACTACGATACTCGAGTGCCTGCGATAACGGCAACAACAGGGTCGATGCGTTCCCAAGATGCTGCTTCTAGAATGCTTGAATTCTAAAGCTATTTCATTGGACTGCTGAAGTGGCTAGCGATGGGTGGGGGGGAAGGGATCTCGATCAACATCGAGTCGAGGAATGGTCGAGTGAGAGTGAGAGTTGGACAGAACTGCCTTCGTACGAGTAACTTACAAGTACCTACGAGTACAGTCGCCGACGGGGCCGTGACGAATACCAGGCCGTGACGAACAGGGGGTAGGGGTGCAACACCAAACCCTAACCCCAGAGGTTGTTAGTTGTAACCACACCTCTTTGAGGAACAGAGGGACAAAAACCCTTTCAACCACCTCCATGATGATGAGAGCCACTCTCATCCCTCGACATCTCCTCCTCTTTGGATTTGATCACTAAAGGGGCTTGACGGATAAGTAAAATCCCTACTTTTGATTCGATTTTGCTTTTGTTTTTATTGTAATAGAGTACAGAAATTAATTGAAATTAAAATAATTTATAGGTTTTCAGAACTGCTAGGCACTATGCTATATGAACCACTATCAGGCCCTGGATTGTCTGCCTGATTTCGGGTGTGGTTTTGTGTGACAGGATTCTTCGGTGACGTACGCTTCTGTTCTCTCCGCAGTCCATCTACTATATCCTTTTCATTACACTTCCGTTTAAGTTCAGCTAACATCTCTCCACGTTTAAGAAGATAGCTGGTTAGCTATTCAGATGCCTGTGATGAGATTTGCCCCTAGTGGTGATTTGCTAAATCTCTTCATGCAGATAAGCCCCCCCAGTCTCATGCATTACTATATTTTTTTCCAGTATTTTCCTCAACTGACCTATTGAGTTTAGTCAATATCAATTGTAGCTTTATAGAAGAAAAACTATTAGAGGTGATTGCCGATAGCCCTTCAACATATAAGTTGTGAATTGATTGTGGAGTTGTTGGAGTTTTGGGTCGGAAAGTGATTTGGTAGGCTAGGGTTTGGAGAGATACTGTATGTAACATGTTCGCAAGGTACTAATCACATTATAGGTAAATGGTACAATAGTTAGCAGGTGGCCTGCTCTACCAGAGAGGAGGCGAGAGCTGAGAACTAAAGAAGGCTTTGAGGCTGTACTGAGAAACAAAGAGGTAACCATTCAATTAAGTATATTGAAATACTGTCTGCTGAAGTCTGCCTTTTCTATCGTGGAATCAGGCAGTCTTTAAATACACAAATTTGTTCATGTCTAGCATGAACAAAACTAATCAAAGGTATTAAGCGATACACTTCGGTAAAACAAATCAAGCATCTAAATTGTAACCGGTACGAGTACTCGGTTATTGGTTTTGTTTTATGTTTTGTTTTAAGTATCGCTTTGATACTTGGTTTGTTTTAAGTATCGTCTGATACTTGGTTTTGTTTTATGTTTTGTTTTAAGTATCGCTTTGATACTTGGTTTGTTTTAAGTATCGTCTGATACTTGGTTTTGTTTTATGTTTTGTTTTAAGTATCGCTTTGATACTTGATTTGTTTTAAGTATCATCTGATACTTGGTTTTGTTTTATGTTTTGTTTTAAGTATCGCTTTGATACTTGGTTTGTTTTAAGTAACGTCTGATACTTGGTTTTGTTTTATGTTTTGTTCTAAGTATTGCTTTGATACTTAAGGAGTTTTACCAAAGAGGATCAATTGATACCTTTGATTAGTTTCGATCATGCTAGACATGAACAGATTTGTGTATTTAAAGACCGCCTGTTTCTATGATAGAAAAGGCAGACTTCGACAGACAGTATTTCAATATACTTGGTTGAACGGTTACTTCTTTGTTCCTCAGTACACCCTCGAAGCCTCCATTAGTTCTCAGCTCTCCCCTCCTCTCTAGAAGAGCAGGCCACCTGCCAACTATCATATCGTTACCGATAATGTGATTAGCACCTTGCGAACACGTTACATTTTGTTAACCACAGCAAGTGGTTAAGAACCTGTCCCCGGATTTAGGCCTGATCAACCTATCAATATCTACCTCAGAACGCTAGCGGAGAGAAGCGGCAGAATCACAGCACATTCAGCTTCATCTCAAACCCAAGATAGAGTCTTTGACAACAAGGAGTGGGAAGCAAATCCCATGGCAAGACCTTACAAGAAAGAAACAACTCCGGTGCTCTGCTAAAGAGCCGGGCGATCCTGCAAACACGGAAGATACACAACCTCCAGGAGAATTCCCTTCTACTCCAGCAAAGAAGCCTTCCTTTGAACCTCCAATCGACCCCGAATCCAGTAGCGAA